ACCCAGGTGAGTGCCCTGCGCCGTGGCCCCCTCCCTATCCCCGCCATCACCCACCCGCGCCCCGGCGGGCGCCTGCCTGGGAGCAAGCGGTGGGAGAAAATCTCCGTCCCGGGCGGGTTTGGAGGAGCCCGTGGGGCCGTACTGTTTGGGTACGGTTTGGGGTGGGCTTTGGGGTGGGTGCCCCCATTTGCACACCCCCCTGGCTGGGGAGAGCGGGTTGGGGGGGACAGCGCTGGTTCCAGCTGAATTTCCTCCCATCCCTGGGGCTTCTTCGTTCCCGTGGGGATTTTTAAGGATAAAATAGCTTTTAAAAAAAAAAAAAAAGTAGCTTTATTTCAAAACAACGAAATCTCTCCGTTGCTCCTGTTGGGGCCGGGCCTGACCCTTCCCCAGCCCCGTGCCGCTCGCCCTGCCCGCAGCAGGACAGAGTCTGGCCCGGGTGGGCAGCGCCCAGCTGCCGTGGGGCTGGGGTGTGCGGGGAGCACTGCCGCTCATCGGGGTCGGAGGTGGGGATGCTTTGCAGGCCCCTGCCCCAGGGGTGCCGGGGCTCCCGCTGTGCCGGGGTGGTGCGGGAGGTGCGCAGGGACCCGGCGTGACCGGTGTGGTGGTGCTTGCCCCCAGCCACCCCCCGGGAGCAACGGGCGGAAGCAGCGGCGGGAGCGCACCACCTTCACCCGCTCGCAGCTGGATGTGCTGGAGGCACTCTTCGCCAAGACCCGCTACCCTGACATCTTCATGCGGGAGGAGGTCGCCCTGAAGATCAACCTGCCCGAATCCCGAGTCCAGGTACTGGACCTGCGTGGGGAGAGCCCACATTGTCTCGGGCTGGGGGGGATGCGGGGGGACCCCGGCTCGGCTGGCGTGACTCAGACCCAGCTCTCCATCCACACTCATTTCTGTTTCCTCGGGGTCGGGATGCCTGTGGGCTCCTGGCTGCTTGGCTGTCCCACCGTGATGGCATCCAGGCAAAGGGGGACTTTTTTATTTTTCTTTTTTATTGTCTTTTATTAATTTTATTTTTATTAATATTTTTCTGTCCCCATCCACCTGCCCTAGGGTGTAGCAGCCCCACTACCCGGGTGCTTCTCAGGGCTGCTCCCTCCGGCACTGCTCCCCAGATGATGATGCCCAGTGGGGTGGGATATGCAGGCAGCACCCCACGCAGGATCCATCCCCCAAAACCACGCTTTGTCACTGCACCGGGGACATGCACAAGCTGGGCCACCCCGGCCGCTGGCCCCGGGCATCCTTGCTTAGGGTGGTATGAGGGGTGGCCCGGGCACCAGGTGTGGCAGGTTTTTTTTCAGGGTGCGGGGGTGTGTGGTGCTAATGGCTGGGCGTGGGTGCTGGTGGAACTGGTGCTGGGGTGAGGTTGGTTGGGTACTCCTGGGGTGAAGACGGGAGAGCGGGGGGCCCAGAGGCAGCCCCTTCTCGCCCTGATGCTCATGCCCCCTGCACACCATTTTCTCGCCTCAGGTCTGGTTCAAGAACCGCCGTGCCAAAGTGCCGGCACAGCAGCAGAGCGGTGGCGGGGCCAAGAGCCGTCCGGCCAAGAAGAAATCCTCGCCGGCTCGTGAGAGCTCAGGTTCGGAGAGCAGCGGGCAGTTCACGCCGCCGGCAGCGGCCTCCAGCTCGGCCTCTTCTTCCTCCTCCAGCTCGGCCTCATCGGCTCCGGCAGGCGCCCCGGCATCTCTCAGCACCCCGGCGTCGTCCATCTGGAGCCCAGCTTCCATCTCTCCTGGTGCGGCGCCGGCGGGGGTGACTGTGCCTGAGCCCCTGCCGCCAGCTGCTGCGTCCTGCATGCAACGGGCCGGCCCCGCCGCCGCTGCTGCCTCCGCCAGCTACCCCGTTTCCTATGGCCAAGGCGGGGGGTATGGGCAGGGTTACCCCGCGCCGCCCTCCTCGTCCTATTTTGGGGGCGTTGATTGCAGCTCCTACCTGGCACCCATGCACTCCCACCACCATCCCCACCAGCTCAGCCCCATGGGGCCCTCCTCGGTGCCTGGCCATCACCACCACCACCCGCTGAGCCAGAGCTCAGGCCACCACCACCATCATCACCATCACCACCACCACCAGGGTTACGGCGGCACCGGG